CTCTCTTCTCTCTGGTCTCTCTTTCTCCTCACCCCTCTTTTCTTTTTCTCTCTTCTCTTTCCCCCCAAGTCCCTCTTCTTTCTTCCTTCCCCCCTTGTTGTTGTTATTGTTGATCGTTGTTGTTGTTGCTGTATTTGTTGATAATACTATCATCATCATCATCACCATCATCATCATCATCATCATCATCATCATCATCATCATCATCATCATCATCGTCCTATGTTAACTTACCTCAGTGAAAGCATCCCTGACGTATCTGTGAATGAGCGACGTCTTGCCGCAGCCGCACGCACCAACGACCACGATTTTGGAGCGCACCTCCGTGCCGCCCCCCGAGGCAGCCAGATTGCTATCCGAACCCGAGGCGGCGGCGGCCGCGCCTTTGTCTTTGGATCCCCCTTCCCCCCTGGGGGAGGGTCGCCCCCCGTCTTTGAGGGGCATGAATACGAAGTCTGTGCACTTTTTATCTTTCATGGAGAATGTCCCAAAAAACACGGAGTCCTCAAGATGTTAATCAAATCCACACCAATCACGTTCGATGACCTGAGTGATGGACGCAGCGATGGTCTAGCCCTTGTTGTGTAAATTCCGAAGTGACTTTTTTCCTCTTCCTCTTTTTCTTGGCAACATTTGTTGCTGGGAGAGGCACAGGAAGTTCGCCTTACAAGTTACTTCCTTCACCTTTAAGAAAGAAGAGACATAATTTTTTCAAAATGGTGAAATTTGACTGTGATTTCGGACATTTTTGACGACAGTTTTAAACAGGCAACTTGTTTTGTGAATGAATAATACGCGTCAATTTCTCGGAACAAAACTTGAACCGCTTTTCATAACGTGGCACTTATACAGGGCCAAATGCAACATGTGTATTCGAAGTGGGTTGACTAGCTGCTTGCTACTTACTACACACAGTGGTTAAAAACAAATATTCATGCAATAAAACTTAAACGAAATCCAGGCTATTTGTGATAGGCCTAATAGGTCTATACATAGAATCTAGATTGTCTAGTCCTACATTACAACAGGAATAAACAAACAAGCAAACAAACAAACTAAAAAAGATGAGCACATCTGTATAAATAGAAAGAGTCCCATTAATTGTTTCTTAACCTCGGAAAGATTGCGATTGAGTAATTCACCCCGATCATCGGTTCAAGTAAAGACAGATAAATCCGGTTATCAAGATATTGAAAATTCTAAGCCTAGTAACAGTATGCCACGTAATAATCGGTAAGACGATAAAAAGAGCCCGTTTGGACACGAGTGAACATTTCCAAAGAACAAAAACAAAAGAAAAGTAACTGACAACAGCATAGAAAAAAAGAGACACGTTTGAGGACATTCAGAGCGATCACAAAAGTTGATAGATTCTAGATATATCTAGATTAGATCTAGATTTAGATCTAGATCTAGACATCTACATCTAGATCTAGATTCTAGATTCTAGATCTAGAATCTAGATTCTAGATTCTAGATTCTAGATCTAGTAGATCTAGAATCTAGACTAGATCTAATCTAGATCTAGATCTACATCAGTTTAGATCAAGAATCTAGATCTAGATCCAGATCCTAGTAGATCTAAAGCCTAAATTAATTAACGGTTATAGATAGGCCATAAAAACAACTACCGGCAGTACCGGGAAGGGATTCAAGAATGTAACAGATAAAGCCGGAGATTATAAAGATGATGATCAGTGATCAGTTGGAACAGAAGTTGTTGCATCTTGCATCATCGAGGAAAAGGGGGGGGTGGTTGACAAAAAGGGGAGTGGCCAGTTGACAGATTATAACCTACTCTTTATGTTCATATTATGTCCTTAAAATTTCACGAATGACGTCAACATTCGTTTAATAAGTCGACAAAAGACTAGAATCTAGATTCTAGATATCTAGATCTAGATCTAATCTAGATCTAGATCTAAATAATTTTTCTGGAACCATGCGATATTGGGCCTACCTTGTGAATGATCTCCTTTCAATTTCACGACGGGTCTGTCAGTCTCAGTCGAGTTAAACAGGAGTAAAATCCTCAATGAAACGTGGTTGGTTGTAATGAACGTTTCTTTCAACAGTAGGCCTACTAAACTTGTATCCTCTCTAAATTTCGAGAATATACGGTACCACTAAAAACTCGACAAGCACAAGTTTTCACTTTCTAGTCCAATCGTTTCGTCCACTTTCTTTCCGTGTTCACAATGCAGTAGCAATATCGTTGCCGGTGTTGTGCCGGAATGCGTGTGCAACTAACTTGTGCCAAGCCTAGGCCCCAAATATTCACACATACCACGGCAAGGCGAAGTCACGGCCCGTTGTGAATGGCAGGCGCTGTGTGTCGCGTGAATGAAGCAGACCCGTTTCTCCAACTTGCGACCTCAAAGCTAGCGACGGTTTGCGTTCGCGACACGGCTGGGAAGATCGCCCAAATCTCTGCCCTCCCCTTCTTCTCAACCGCTGTGGTTCCACATGACAGCCCCTTGAGGGATTACAGTCCACGTCGCATTCCAGTGACTACCAAAGGCACACCCGTGCCATACCCAGTTGCAGCCGTCAACCACAAACTTCTCAAACAAGTGCGAAGTAGATCTACTGGGAGAAAAGGCGCACTGTGGCAAGTGGTAGAATCTCGTGTGGTGGTAGGCCTAGGCCTGCAAACTCTTACCTCCCCTCGCCACACAGCTCGTCCGCTCTGGCCTCGTTTGTTGGCCCTCTCTGCGCCTGTGCACCGTTACACTGATAAACAAAACAGGCTATCGCATTTGTCAATGAATGAAAATGATAGCCCAGTTTCACAGTCAGTTTTTACCCAAACTTTGTTAGCCGAACTTTTCCCACAGGTTGCGCCTCGGCAACTTGTGAATGAAATGGAAAGAAAACCTCGTGCGTGCTATTTGCTTGTGTCGGATGTAAATATAGAACCGTGTCCGACGTTGAAACAGCCAAGGCATGATATAGCTAGGCCTACAGGAACATTCTGGCACTGCCGGGGCCGGTTTCAACGGTAACCCACAAGAGGTCACTTTGAAAGCTCTTGCAACGGCCGCACCCTCAAAGCTTGTTCCGCACCGGTGACTTTTTATGTACTTAACAACTCTGATTTCACGCAAGTGAGCAACCACAGATTTTATGCTCTCTCACCGTGAGACCGGTAGCTGCAAAGGGACCAATAAAACAGTCCGTCTGGTGTAGGGTTGGGGTTTTTTTTTTGCGGTTTGACGTCATCTTTGGTGACTTTGTAGAGAGAAATCTGGGACTTCACGAGGAAAAAGAAGAAGGGTGGTCTCCTCAACGAGGTCCAGAGATAGGCTAGCTTGGAACGTTTTCAAACAAAATATAACAATCACTCATCGTGTTGTTTGGATTTTTTTCTTGATCTCCTCATGCGAAATAAATGCAATTTCCGACCAGTTGGCTGCTGTTGGTGTAACATGTGCGGTACTACAAGTGGGCAGAGGTTCTGCTGTTTTTGTGTAGAAATCCTACTTCTACTTTTATTGTGCTTGTTGATTACTTAGGTTTTTATACTTTGGGGCCTATCTATATGTAGGGGATGGAACAGCGGAACAAAATTAAATCCATATGAGCAGGACGTGCTTCTTAAGCAATACTGCATAAAATAAATAGAGCGTCGAAGTAAAAATAATATCTCGTTTGAAAGTTCAAAAAGTTTATAAAGCTTAAAGGTCTTGCCATTGTTTTGACAAGTTAAA